GCGTTCACGGGCCGTTCCTCATCTGGGAGAGCCTTCCGCCCGGACGTCGGGAGCCGTCGACCCCAGACCCTAGCCCACTTGACCGCCCCGAGGCCTCCCGCCGTCTCTGCCGACCTGGAATTTGGGACCTCGTTGCTGCGCCCCGCCCAGCCGCCCAGGTAAGCCCGGCCCCCGGCCCAGGGCTCCCGGGAGCGCAGCCTTTCCGCCTGCTTCCCCGCGCTCCCGGGCGGCTTCTGGTCCCCGGACTACCTCTTCCCGGCCAGCTTCCACTCGCGTACCCTGCAGCCCCCTCCCTCAATGGCCAGCCCGCCCTCTGCGACAGCCCCACCTCTCCAGTCCCTCGGAGGCTGGCCCTGCCCTCAGGTGGCCAGCTCCCGGCCAGCGCCGTCCTCGACGGCCCCGCCCACGCCGCTAGGCCCGCCCGAGGGGCCGCCCTTCCCTCCTCTCGCCGTTCCCCACCCCGCCGGCTGGTCCCCTTTCCTGTGGGGGTCCCTTCCCCAGCGGCTGCCCTCCTTTATTTGACCTTTCCTGGGAGAAGCCCTTCCGCTTCTCCCGGTGACAGCCCATCTCCTCAGTTGTTCTCCAGGGTATTCCCACGCCCACGGAGAGAATTCCGCCGCCGCCCTGCCCCGGAGGAACTCACAGTCTAGCGGTAGACGGTGGTCAGCAGATGTGTCCGGCTCAGTGAGAGGGTGAGGCCCGAGGCCCCTGGAAATTGTGGCGGTCACTTTGGCTGGGGCTGAGGCTCCCGGCCACCCTGGCTGTATCCCTGAGCCGGCTTCCCTGTCAATCCTTCGCGCCCCTAAGGCTGTTTGTTCACGTACTTCTTCATGGTTCCTGAGATGGGATTTTATTTTTTATGTTTTACTTTTTTTGAGAAAGGATCTCCCTAAGTTGCTTAGGGCCTCGCCAAATTCTGAGCGGCCTCAAACTTGTGATCCTCCTGCCTCGGCCACCTGAGCTGCTAGGATTACAGGTGTGCACCACCAGGCCCATTGGTGGGATGGAATTCTTGGGGTAAACAGAGGCAGAGGAAGGGTCGCCACAGAATGTAGGGTGAGGCTTTCAGCCAAGCCCCTAGATCCCTCCCCACACAGTGGGAGGCCCTTCTTTAGGTGACTGATCCTGAGCAATCACCAGCACACTGTCTGCTAGGTATGGCATCTTGTGGTCCATTGGTCCATTGTGGCTTTCTCTCAAATATGACTCTTTCTCTCTCTCTTTTTTTTTTTTTTGTGTGTGTCAATTACAGCATTATAGGAACACAACAGCCCTCTGCCCAACACACAAGGCACTGATACTTGTGGGACGACTGTACTTTGTGTGTTGTTTCAGTTACTACCCAGAGTTTATGATAGCATTTATGGCATCATTTGCTTGATAGTAGTTTGCCTTTATGCTGGACTTAGGGCTAAGCCCTCCATAAGTTCAGTACAGTATGAGTCCACAAATCCCTGAGGCTAGATGCATTTCAGTAATTAAACTGAGATTTAGAAAGCTAATATGGGTGCATATTCACCACCGATGGGTATGGGACATCATTCCAAGATCAAACATATTAATATTTCTGCCAAGAAATATATGAATATTTTCACTGAGAGATGATGATGATAATGATGATGATGATCCTGACGATGATGATTTTTGTGGTACTGGAGATTGAACCTAGGGCCTAGAAAGTGCCAGGCAAGTACCATATCACTGAAACATCCTCAGCCCTTTCCTTCCTTCCTTCCTTCTTTCCTTCCTGGGATTGAACTCAGGAGCACTCAACCAGTGAGCCCATCCCCAGCACTATTTTGTATTTTTATTTATAATTTTTTTTTTTTTAGAGAGGGAGAGAGAGAAAGAGAGAGAATTTTAATATTTATTTTTTTTTAGTTATTGGCGGACACAACATCTTTGTTTGTATGTGGTGCTGAGAATCGAACCCGGGCCGCATGCATGCCAGGCGAGCGCGCTACCGCTTGAGCCACATCCCCAGCCCCTTGTATTTTTATTTAGAGACAGGGTCTCACTGAGTTGCTTAGCACCTCACTGTTGCTAAGGCTGGTTTTCTTTATTTGTTGCCATACCAGGGATTTAATTCAGGGGCACTTTACCGCTGAGATATATCCCCAGTCCTTTTTGTTTTTTTATTTTGAGATATCCCCAGTCCTTTTTGTTTTTTTATTTTGAGATAGGGTCTTGCTGAGTTGTTTAGGGCCTCACTAAGTTGCTGAGGCTGGCTTTGAACTTTACATTCTCCAGTCTCAGCTTCCTGAGCCTCTGGATTGTAGGTGTGTGCCACTGTACCTGGGAGGATTTATTTTTCAACCCTCAATTCTATTCTCATTATCTCTCTCTTTATCTATTTGTCCTTATGTGAGTACCACACTGTTTTGATTACTATGGCTGTGTAGTAGGTTTTGGAATTGGGGTGTGAGTCTTCCAACATTTTTCTCTTTTTGATTGTTTTGATGAACTTTCATATGAATGTTAGGATCAGTTCGTCATTTCCTCTAAGGAAATCACTTGGGATTCTGTGCTAGGGACCAATCCCAGGGCCTTGCCTATGCTAGGCAAGCACCCTACCACTGAGTCATATCACTAACCCACAATTTGAAGAGTATTGCCATTTTATCAAATCTTTGGATCTATGAACATGTGACATCTTTCCATTTATTTAGACCTTAATCCCACCCCCCATCCCCACTCTTCTGGCTCTTGAATCACCACCACCATCATCATCATCATCATCAATCATCATCATCGTCGTCATCATCACATACCATGTATACCTTCCAATTGAGCTACATTGCCTCCCCCAGCCTCCTCTTAATAACTCACCACCAAAGACTCTATGGACTTTGACAGCATCAACTTCACAACAGTGTTTCAGTTTTTTTAGGGGAGCAACTTCAGGGCTGGTTATTTTTTTGTTCGTTTTTGTTTACTTTAATTAAATCCCAAACTGCTGGGATATATATGTATATATCACCAATTTAAAAAATATATTTATAGTATTCACTGTGGTAACATGTGCATAGCATAATTTGGTCAATTTCATTCCACATTCCCTCCCCTTCCCCTTCTCTCCTCCCTTCCCCTCAACTTCTCCCTTAGTCCCCTTAGGGCTTCTATTTCACAACCTGCCTCTACCCCTGGGCTAAATATTTGAGTCATGCTGTGGAGCTGGGATCTGATAAATATGAAAGCCTGCCCCCTCTGGGTGGATACCTTAACTTTGATAGGGTTGCAGGAGCTCCATCTTCTTGGAGATACCTGCTCATAGTGCTGATAGGCATCTAGGTGCCATACATTCTGGATGTTCTTACCAAGATTTGGTGGATTGTCTTATATAAATGTTTCTTCATTTACTATATGCACTTAGTACCATGTCCAGAGGTTTGCAATACTTGCTTGTGAATAATGTTTGCCAGCTCCACCTGTGTTTCTGGAGATAGGCCCCCAGAGCACCTCAAGCTGCTGTTCAGGAAGTGGAGCTCCACTGAGCAGTTCTGGCAATACAGCAATGAAAATAAAAGAAAGGAATAAAGAACTCTGCCTTTTACCCTGGAGTTAGAGAGGAAGGATGGTATTAGAACTGGAGAGGAGGGGAGGGGATAGTGTTGATATTTCTGTCTCAGGTCTTAAAAGAAAGGAAGGCTGGACCTCCCACTCCCACCCCAAAGTGGTGGCTGTATAGGTTCTGACTCCAGAACCACTTTGGTTTTAACATCCCCATTGGGCTTGACACTCTCAGGGACATAGGCCTCTGGTCTCCATTTCATCTTTCTGTCATGTCTGAGATGCAGACAGCATGTCATGCAGATGTGTGACAGCCTGTCCTCTGCCTTTTCCTACAGGTGCTTGTAGTCCCTGAAGCCTTCATGTGGAAAGCAGAACGTGCGTGCAGTGTAGACTGGGCTCTCTTGGGGGCCACAGCACCAGGTGTTTTTTGAGTGGACACACTGCTTGACCTCCGTCTCTCTGCCCCCAGGGCCTCCTGTGCTGGCCATGCCTGTGCCTGCTGAGGGTACCCCACCACCTCTAAGTGGCACCCCTATCCCAGTCCCAGCCTACTTCCGCCATGCAGAGCCTGGCTTCTCCCTCAAGAGGCCTGGGGGGCTCAGTCGAAGCCTCCCACCCCGGCCCCCTGCCAAGGGTAGCATCCCAATTAGTCGTCTCTTTCCTCCTCGGACCCCGGGTTGGCATCAGCCCCACCCCCGGAGGGTGTCATTCCGGAATGAGGCTTCAGAAACCCTGCAGAGCCCTGGGTATGACCCGAGCAGGCCAGAATCCTTTTTTCAGCAGAGCTTCCAGAGGCTCAGCCGCCTGGGCCATGGATCCTATGGAGAAGTCTTCAAGGTGAGGAAAGAGACGAGACAGTTCCCTAAGTCCATCTGTGGGACACTTTGCTTCCCTCTCCTCTCCTGGGCAGCCTGCTCCACTGTCCTCTTCTCTGCTTTTGTTTTGACTGCTTTTTCATAACCTCTATGCAGGGCCCTTTGAGGGTTGCCTGTGCACACTGGCTCCTTGTCCGGAGTCTGGCACAATCTGCAGTGCCCCTGGTTGCCATCTCTGCTGGATTCAGCTGTGCTGAGTTCCTTGGCAGGCACTACACAGCTCCCAGGGCTAGCCCAAGTACAGTGCCACCCTTCCCTCTGGCAGGCTTGAAGTCTACCCCCTGCCTGCCACTTTTTTTTTTTCCCTTAAAATACATTTTTTAATCATTTATATTTTCTCTAAAATGGTAGCTTTCTGAAGCTGGGCACAGGGGCACACGCCTGTCATCCCAGCAGCTCGGGAGGCTGAGGCAGGAGATCATGAGTTCAAAGCCAGCCTCAGCAACAGCGAGACACTAAGCAAGTCAGTGAGACCTTGTCTCTAAATAAAATACAAAATAGGGCTGCAGATGTGGCTTAGTGGTTGGATAACCCTGAGTTCAATCCCTAGTTCCCTACCCCCTGCAAAATTAAAAAATGTTAGCTTTCCCTTGCACAAATACTATTTGAAGATAATTTTGTTATCTTTATTAAATGCAAGGAAAATAGTCCCCTGGGCCAGCTATCTTACCCAGAGGAAAGCTGTGCATAGCAGAGCAGGCTGCCCCTGTTCTGGAGCCATGGTTTCCACTTAGCACTGTGCTCTAGAGAATCTCCTGGGCCAGAGTCCATGGGTCTGCCCTGCCTCCTCCATGGCTGGGTCTCCAGCATATCACCATGTGCCAGCATCTCTCTAAGACAGATGTGTTGCCCCTCCACATGTGTGATATCTTAATAGCATCTATCAGTTGTGCCCCCACCCCCACCTGCAGGCACTATTTCTCTTGCAGGTGCGCTCCAAGGAAGATGGCCGTCTCTATGCGGTCAAACGTTCTATGTCGCCATTCCGGGGTCCCAAGGACCGGGCCCGCAAGCTGGCTGAGGTAGGCGGCCACGAGAAGGTGGGGCAGCATCCACGCTGCGTGCGGTTGGAGAGAGCCTGGGAGGAGGGCGGCATCCTGTACCTGCAGACGGAGTTGTGCGGGCCCAGCCTTCAGCAACACTGTGAAGCCTGGGGCGCCAGCCTGCCCGAGACCCAAGTCTGGGGCTACCTTCGAGACACTCTGCTTGCTCTGGCCCACCTGCATGGCCAAGGCCTGGTTCACCTTGATGTCAAGCCTGCCAACATCTTCCTGGGGCCTCGGGGCCGCTGTAAGCTGGGTGACTTTGGCCTGCTGGTGGAGCTGGGTGCCACTGGAGCCAGTGAGGCCCAGGAGGGAGACCCCCGCTACATGGCCCCCGAGCTGCTGCAGGGCTCCTACGGGACAGCGGCAGATGTGTTCAGGTGAGGGCTAGGACATGGAGGGGTTGTGTGGCCCTTGTATGGGAGTGGTCAGCAGAGAAAAGGACTCCCTAGAAGAGGACCTCCATCCTGGCCCTAGGTCAGGAAGACATTTAGCCTCAGGCCTCAGAGATGCTGTGTCTGCCTTATAGCCAAGAGATCTCCTTGGCATGCTTCTTAAAACCAGCAAGCCCTTTGGAGTAGCTTCACTTAGCCTAGCCATATCCTTACATTTCTAAGGGAAGAATGGCTATTACTCTGATACAGGAGGGAACAGTGCAGTGAGGTTGAGGGACTTACCCTGAATTCACAGTTAGCAGCGGGACTGGGCCCAGGCACTGGGTTCCAGTTTCATGCTGGCAACACTGCCCTGCCTCCAGCACTTGTATCTGACCATCTCAGCAGAATGAGGATGACATTAGTAACCTTAGAAACTCAGGTGCCCATCAGTGAGGTATTGGAGGACCACTACAGCAACATGTGGGCTGCACTGGGATGTAGGATTAACCCTTCACAACAAGGTCCCCATCCAGCCTGGAGTTCATTGGCCCTGCTGCAGCCGACTCTTAAGTCCCCACCCCTCTTTCATCACTTCCCTGGCTTATGGTAGAAGATAACAGCCCTACCCACCCTCCAGTGGGATTGGGGTCTGTGTTTCAAAGTCAACTCTGTCCCCATTCTGTCCCTAGTCTGGGTCTCACCATCCTGGAAGTGGCCTGCAACATGGAACTGCCCCATGGTGGAGAGGGCTGGCAGCAGCTGCGCCAGGGCTACCTGCCTCCTGAGTTTACTGCTGGTGAGTGGAGGGCCCAGTGGCAGGCTGCCACCAGTTCCTATGGCAGGGAGTAGCTGGTGGTAGGGGTACTGCTGGGCTCAGGGCCCAGTCAGTGCCCTGGAATCTTTGACATGGCTTTGTCCAATGGGCAGGTCTGTCTGCTGAGCTGCGTTCTGTCCTTGTCATGATGCTGGAGCCTGACCCCCAGCTGCGGGCCACGGCTGAGGCCCTGCTGGCCCTGCCCATGCTGAGGCAGCCAAGGCCCTGGAATATCCTGTGGTGCATGGCTGCTGAAGCCCTAAGTCGAGGCTGGGCTCTATGGCAGGTAAGCTGCCACAGTGCCGGGCCATGTTACCTAAAGCCCACCCCAGGGCCTGCCTGGCTTCTTGAGGTTTCCTCTCCCCACAGGCTCTGCTCACCCTGCTGTGCTGGCTTTGGCACAGCCTAGCTCACCCTGCCAGCTGGCTGCAGCCCCCAGGTCCACCAGTGACCCCACCTGGCTCGCCACCCTGCAGCCTCCTGGATAGCAGCCTCTCCAGCAGCTGGGATGATGACAGCATAGGGTGAGTGAGAGCTCCTACACCTGGAGTGGGCCCATAGTATAGCTAAATGGAGGTCTGATGAATGGGAGTCACAGCTTTGTCTATGTGAATTCAACTCAGTGAGTGGGGTGACTGCCATCCACAACACAGCTTCACACTGGTAAGTGGTAGGAAGGCCAGTGTACCTGCCAGGATAGGCAGGGGCACCCCCACCTCAGTAGAGGCTGCAAATGCCCAGGAATAGGGCATTTTCTTTCCCTGGATGAAGAAAAATCTCTCAGAGCCTGGCAAGTCCCCACTCTGAGAGGATGCCCTTAGTCTCAGGTGGCCAAGTGAGAGGCTGTAATTAAGAAACTCCTGCACAAGAAACCTACATGCCCCAAATACACAGCTCTCGAAGGAATCCCTTCCTTATAATAATGTCACTCTCACTCTGAGGGCACTTTGTAGCCCAAGGGAAGTGCCAGCACAGCTTCATTTACCAAAAGTTCACCTGAGATCCAGCTCAGTTAAAGCCTATATTCTGAAAATGAACAGAAAGGCCTTTGGGCACAGTCAGATGGGAGAGCTTGAAGGTTGTCCAAGTGTACCACATCTTTATGGTCCTGACTGTGGCCCTTATCCCTCCGTCAGGGCTAGAACCTGAGTGGGGTTGCTCTCCTACACTTCTCACCTCCTTGCTTGTTTTGCCTACCTTCCTATAGGCCTTCGCTCTCCCCAGAGGCCATCCTGACCCGGGCTGCCAGGAGTACTTCCACCCCCCGGGGCAGGTACACACCAAGGTAAGCAGGCCCCAGAGCTGGGGCTGGGCAGGGTTGGTTTTGGGATCCTGAGTGTCATTCTTCTTTTCTTACAGGGATGCCCTGGACCTAAGTAACATGGACTCAGAGCTTCCTCGGAGTTCCTGTCCTTCCTTTGAGCCTAGGAACCTCCTCAGCCTATTTGAGGACTCACTGGACCCAGCCTGAGCTGTAGGTCCAGCTTCTCTACTTTTAACCTCTTACTCCTTCCCTGTCCCTTCCCCTGGAAAGCTGGGTCCCTTTGGGATCTACTGTGTATAATAAAAAGTATTTGAATCTTGGGAGTACCCAAGCTTGCTCTAGTGGCAATAGAGCATTTTCTGTCCCTTTATTGATGTTGCCCAGGGTCTTGGGCTACTGGGAGGATCCTACTATGAGGCTGAGCCCTGCTGTAGATCCCAGGGCCCCAGGCCTTGGCTCAGCAGACTGGCACCACACACTGTGTGGGATAGAGATTTCCTGAGTGGGCATGTTCCCAGCAGGCAGGGAGCCATCAGATCATGGCACTGAAGGTGGGGGCAGACCCTTAGCCCAGTGGGGCCTGGGTCCAGAGTCACTCACTTCATGTCTGTCTGTTAACTGGGAAAAGCAGCCACTGTCCTCATGTCCCTTGTCCAGCTGGTGCAAGAAGACCAGGACCCACTGGGTCTTGGGAAAATGGGCTGGTCCTGCTGCCCCAGACCCTTACTCCAGTCTTTAAATGGAGAAAGGTGGCAGGGCTTCTGGCTAGGAGGCTGGCATGCAAGGCAGAGATGGAGGTCAGGAAACAGGAGCCAGAGGGGCTAGCCCAGAGACCTGTGAGGGCAGTATCGGGGGATGATGGGTCTGGGTTGGCAGGTGTGGCAAGTTTGCAGGACTCCAGCTGTCAGAACAGGATATAACCTTAGAGTCTCCCTGGCCCAACCCTCACAGGTAACAGGGTAAACAGGTCCAGAGAAGGAAAGGTTTCCTTGCAGCTGACATAGTACCCAGGAGGAAGAAGGCAGGGAGGGGAAGTTGGAGTTCCAAGGCCTGGGTGAAAGAAGAGGTTAGTCCAGAGGGAAGAATGAACAGACAAGGGCTCCCAGCTGGGAAGTCTCAAGCGCTGTAAGCATCAAGGGAGCCAGCCCCTTGCAGACCAGAAGGAGGGAAGGTGGCATTATTGTTCCAGGAGGCTGTGGGCAAGCTGGCACAGGAGGCAGCTCAGTCTGGGGGACAGGCGTGGTGGGCGGCCCAGAGCAGGTCAGGCACAACACCGGCGTGCAGCTGTAGGATGGAGCCCACGCTGAGCAGATGCATGATCTGGTGGGAGTTGCCCCAGTAGTCGAAGCGGCCAGGACCCCAGCGCTCTGGTAGGCGGGCCACATTCACCAGCCCTCCAAGCAGTGCCAGCGCATCCATGCGCAGATAGCAGTGCAGGGAACCTGGAGCCCCTGAGCCCAGCCCTACTGCACGGGCCCCAAACACCAGCAGACGGGCCCCAGCTTGCCAGCCAAAGGCTCGGAGTCGGGCACTGGTGGAAGGGGCAGTGAGGGCTCGCCAGCCGGCTATAGCAGACAGCAGGGTGTAGCCCATCAGGGCAGCCGGGCGCAGCCAGGGCCTACAGACCAGGGTGCAGTGGATGATGGGCAGGGCCCCTGCAGAGAGAGAACAGGAGGTACATCAATCTGAGTCTGCTTTCCCTTCCCTACCCAGGGCTCATGCCCCTGCCTCCCCATCTCTAGGGCCCTGGCTCACCGAGGGTGTTGACGAGGCAGACTCCACACATATCAAGAGCAAGAAGCCGGGCGTATACAGAACTGCCCCCTTGGTGGCACATGAAGAGGTGATACAGCACAGAGGCGGCAGGGGGAACCAGGCAGGCCACACAGTGTGTGCCCCCCAGCCAGCTATCCTTTCCCAGCTGACTCCAGGGCATAGTCATTGGCACCAGCACCAGGAAACCCAGCAAGGCCAGCCCTGGGAAAGAGAGACAGTTATCCATCATACAGTTTGGGCATAAAAGTTGAATCACATCCCTAAGGAGATCAGTTTAGGGATGACACAAGAGGGGCAACAGCAGAACAGATCTGGGTGCTGCTGCCATCCACACAGAGGCAGGCCTTAGGCTATATGCTTTTGGAAACCTACTATCATGGTTCACAACAACTTTGGGAAGTAGAGACTCTGAGCCCACTTTGCAGGTGAGGAAACTGAAGCTTGGAGGTCAAGTAACCTACTCCAGATGAGCCCAGCAAGTTGTATGGCTCTCAAGCTGCCCTCACCCTTTAAGCTGGAGCAGGAGGCCCCCATGAGGCCTGTCTACAGAAGCCTCAGGAGGCATCACCAGAGTTCTGAGCAGGATATGTAGACACCACCAGCCCCAGGGCTACTAAGCTTGCCTCTTCCCAAGTGTCCACACAAACAGAGGCTTTTGGTCTTTTTGTCTTCCAGAAAGGGGTAGGCCGGCAGGGCAAGGCAAGTCCTGAATGCTCAGGTGGGACTGAAAGGAGTTTGTCCCATCTCCTTCCCAAGTGTTTCCCAGGATCTCCATTCTTGCCAGCCCAAGCCCTTCTCTGGGATTACAAACCCTCTCCAAAGAAGATGGCATTGCCCTCAACGGGGTCAAACCAGAGCTCAGACTGCCCACTCTGAGTTGGGCCAGGCTACACAATAGCCCCCCACTAGGCAAAGGCTAACCCTGCAGGCTCGTGGCCCCTCAGCCCCAGGAGCTGCTCAAGGACGGCCAGGGCTGTGTCAGCAGAGCTCAGAGGGCTGCGGAGGAGGGCCCAAGTGCCTGCTGGGGGTGGGGGGGAGGAGCTGCCACCAGGCGGAGCCCCAAGACAGGGCTTCTGGGACTGGGGCAGAAGGGCTGCTAGGCCAGAAAGGGCTGGGTCTGAGACCGCGGCCAGCTTTTCCCAGGCCCGTTCCTTTCCACAGTTAACATCCATCTCCAGGACGGGTGATGGCGGGGGAGGGTGCTCAGAGCACTAGGATTATGAAGGGGTCTGACACTAGGCTTCTTACCCCAGGGACAGAGCGGGATTAAGCAGTCCCAGCCCCCTATTCTGATTCCCTCGCCAGCCCTGGGGCCCCTGCTGGGAAAGAGGAAGCTGGCAGCCCGGCTCGGGACAATGGCAGCTTTGTCACCACGGTTCCAGGCCAAACCAGGGACGGGACAGACCAGGACCTAGGCGCTGGGGCACTCCTTGGCCTTCGGGTCCCGGGCAGTGAACGGCAGGGCGGTAGCGGGTGCGGGAATGCACGAAGTCGGGTGCGGCTCACCGTGTGTGTAGATGTTGCCCAGTTCGTTGTGCAGGTAGAAAAGGCTGCGCAGGCAGCCGGAGCCGCTGCTGGCCGGCCGGTAGCCGGTCAGCACGAACTTATTGAACTGCAGGTGCGGAGGTGAGCTGGCCCAGTCCAGCAGGCGCGGCCCGGACAGGAACGCCATGGCCCTGCGCAGCGCCGGCCGCTTGTGCTCCTCCTGTCCCTGGGTATCCTCCTTAGTGGGGCTGCAGCGCCGGAGAGCTCATCCCTGCCCGCCTCCCGGCTGCCGGGTCGCGCAGTGCTGGGTCAGCGAGCGCGCCAGCAGAGGGTCCGCGCCCCCTCGCGTCTCGCGTTGCGCACGCGCGAGCCTGACGCCCCCGCACCGGGGCGGAGGCTGGGAGACCCGGCACCCGAGCGCAGTGCGGCCGGGTCCGCCCGGGTAGGCGCTCCGCAGGAATAGCTCCAGTTGGAGGCGGCGGCCGATGGCCTCGCCGCAGCTCGAAGGACGGGCGCGACCGGACGCGGGAGGGAACACCAGGCTCCGCCCCGGTTCCTCGCCCCCGTCAACCCTGCTGGTATTTCGCGCGCTGGATTCCTGACGTTGATGCTGCCAGGGCCAATGGGCGCGGCCAACGGGGAGGCTCCGCCCCGAAAGCGCCCAGGTCTTTTCTCTTCTTAGCATAATCTATGGGGCTCCAGCCTCATTTGAATGTTTGCTTAGGACCTGACGGTTCTGGGTCCCGCGGGCTAAGCTGGAGTGACCAGGCATCTCGTGTCTCCCAGCACTGCGCACCCAGTTTTCCGCGTGACCCCCAAAATGTCGTACCTTTGGGTACCCACCCTCAAGTTCACAGCCCCACCAGTCAGCCCCACCCTGCGGTCGGGGCTCTGTCCAAGGTGCTGCTGGCTCAGGCCCATTCGGAAGGTTCCAGACGAGCGCTGGCGCGTCCCCACTTTGGAGATGATCTCTCCAGTGGCCCCAGATACCCAAGCCTCGGAGGAGATGCGTGACGCACCAGGAGCCCTCGGCAAGGCCCGGATCTTCCGGCCAGGATTCTCTGAGCTTGGGCGAGGCCCAACTCACTCGCTATTATCGCTCACAAGGCGCACCCTCGACCCAGCCCAGCCCAGGCCAGGTAGGAAACTGCAGAAAACAAGGCAGGAGGCGATGGGAGAAAGGTCGGCTCCCGCTCCACCACTTCAGGGGCGGGAACCAGGGAGAAGCCCCTTTGTCAGGCATATCTTTGCCTAAGGTCAGTCTCTGTCGCCCACTCTTCTGCAGGGCACCGCCCATCCATCCTCGGTTCCTCCTCTCCCTTCCAGAAGGTTCTGTCAAACTCTTGGCATGAAACGCCATACAGTCCTGATTCCTGAACTCTCATTAACATAGTCCCTTCCACCATTTAAAACTTGCCAAGGCCTGTACCAAAATAGAACCTTTATTTAAAGTCAGTGATGGACCTCTTTGAGACAGGAATTTGGGTACATATGGAGGAGATAATGATTATCAAAGGAAGGGCCCATGCAGAAAATGCCCATGAATCATTGCCACTCCTGACCAACCCAGGCCATGCCCTCGACCCATGCCTTTACCTACAAAAAAGTTACAGAAGGGTGAAGTTCAAGTTTCAGAAACACTAGAAATTGTGTAACTCCACCCTGCATCCATCTCTAGTCCAACCCCTAGCAATTGCTCCTATATAAATATTAACACCAACATCAAGAAGTTGTTGTCACTCCTCTGGACATGGCTCACTTCTCCCCTGAATGTGTCTCTGCTTTCCTAAATAAACCTTTTTGTGTCTCTAGCACCTGCTGAAATTCTTCTACTACAACATGTTCATCAAGGACCCCACTTGTCTTGAGTCCATGTCCCTTCTCCAGAATGCCTCCAAATGCCAGTGACATTTTGACTACTTTTTTTGACTTCTAACCTCTCACTGAGGGCAGCAATCCAAGATGACCCCAGGAGGGTCTCAGAGACTCCTAAAAACAGAGACTACCTCCCACATCAAGATCTATGGGTTGGTGAGCTGGACCTAGAGGTTCAGGCCAAATACCCAGAATAGAACAAGATGCTTCCAGTCCGATTTCTGGTCTCCTTGGAATGACCAGAGACCAAGCTGCCTTTGAAGTGGCAAAAGGCCGAGGTAGAATGTGGCATAACGTCTCGGATATCCGTCTCACTGGCAGAAGGTCCGATGGACCTTGGGGGTCCGAAGTCAGAGAGCAGAGATGAGCGAGCGTAAGGAGCTCTGGCTGGAGGCACTCAGGGGCTGATAGCCGGTGGCAGGACCCTCTGCCTGGGGGTCCCCAGGAGGACAGGGTAGGGCCACCCCTTGGGGCCGGCGGTACCACACAGCCCAGCTTCTCCCGGCGCCCCGGGAAGGTCCCAATGCCGGGGGCCCTTTTCCCCGAGCCAGAACACAGCTCCTAGAGAGGGAGCAGACATCAGCTGGACCCCGACCCAATCCCACCTCCAGCATCCTGATCTGCCTGCGACCCCACGCTCAACTCTAGGTGTGGACCCAAGGTCTTGCCCGCTCCAGAACCTGGGAATCCCTTCTTAGTTCCCCTCTGGGGCCCTAGTTCCCCACCGGGGCTCCCGTGCCCTGGTGCACCAAGGTGTCAAGCGCCTGGTGCGGGGGTCCGCCCTCAGGCCCTGCCCCAGCGCCCGCACCGTCGGCGCAGCAGACGCAACAGAGACAGGAGCAGCAGCAGCAGCACAGAGACGGCCGTCACCGTTGAGAAGACCCGGGCTGCGGGCACACGGGTGCAGTGAGTACAGGGCCCAGAAGGGCTACTCCCCGATTCCCTCCCGCCTCTCATGCCTGCCTCACCCCCCATCGCAGCCTGTGGGGCTCCAGGCCTAGGGCTGCAGCTCACGTTGGCCCCCTCGGGGGGTTCTGCGGGCGTCTGGGCCGAGCCCTTGGGGGGCGTGCGGTCCTCCGCAGCGTCCTGCAGCCCTGCGGAGAGGAGTGTGAGGCGGGGTGGGGGTAAGAGGGCGGGGGTAGGGGGACCGGGACCCAGCTCACCGCGGTAGGTGAGCGCGAAGCCCTGCGCATGGCCGCGCGCATCGCTGCTGAAAGTGAGCAACAGCACGGCTGCACGCAGGCGCAGAGGTCCGGGCGGAGGAGGGCGGGAGCCGTCAAAGGTGCGGAGCAGGCTGCCCGAGGCGGCGTCGCGCAGCTCCAACCGGTCACGCGGGTCGGCCAGCTCAAAGAGGCGGAAGGTGAGCTCCAAAGCGGCACTGGTCGGGCCCAGCACCCAGCTGCAGTTCCGATCTGGTCCATACTCGTCGGGAAAGTCCGGCGAGTAGATGACTCCCTGAGGCGCAGTCCAGTTTCCCTGACAGGAGCCCACCGACACTGCAGGCAGGGATTACTGTCAGGACCCTGAAGCCAGTGGCTTTTCCTTTACCGCTCGGAGTTCCCCGCCAAAGTTCATAGCAAAGCCCAGCTGGGCCTAACCCCAGGCCAGTTACTCCAGAGGCCCCGCCCCAAATCCAGGCCCTGTCCAATCTCCTTCCGTCCACGCCTTCCACCAATACATTTCAGGTCTGGCTCTCAACTCCCAGGTTCAGCCCTGTCCCCTTTTCGGGGTCCAATCCTCAATCCCAGTTCTTCCTCAGGCCGGGACACCAGCCTAGCGATCCCCCTTCCCAGATTCTGCCCCTATGAGGGCATGACACGTCGGGTCCCACCTGGTCTCTTCCCCTCACCCAAGTCCCCCACCCTTGAAGCCATATCCACACCTAACCTTCATAGATGCCTAGCCGTCCATCACCGCCACACAGCTGGCCCGGGTGGCCAAAACAGATCTGGTCACAGTCCGTAGCGGGAGCAAGGCGTCCCCGGGCCAGGTCGCTTTCAGAGCCACAGAAGCAGGCATAACCAGCCTCCACACCGGCCAGCTGGGAGCATAGACTGAGTAACCCAAAGGCAGGGATGGGGTAGGAGTGGAGTGCTGGGGTCAGAAGTAGGAATCAGGCTGGCGGTTCAGAACCAGTATTAGGATTTGGCGTCAGAGTGTTGGGAGTTGAGTGGGGTCCTGAGGTCAAAGTCAGGGTTACTGGTCTGGGCTTGTCAGCAGTACCTGGTAGCCCTTCATGCGGCAGAAGCGAAGGCACACCTGGACAGTGAGCTTCGTGGAGGTGCCACTGGGACCACTGAGAGCTGGGGGTGCACCGGAGTCTACAAAGCATCCCAGGTAGCCAGGCACTGAGGAGAAAGCAGAGTAAGAATACCATCCCTGAAAGCGACCCTCCACCCAGGTTCCTCAGAACTCCCACCTCTGTCCAGCTGACCCACTCACTGTGACATGTGGGAATGTCACAATAGCGCCAGTAGATGCCCTCCTCAGTTTCAGCTACATAGCACCATGGCTGCACATCACCATCGGGGTTCCTGCAGGTGTGGGGGGTAGTGGTCAGGATCCCACGGCCCTGCCCCATCACCTGTGAGCAATGTGCCCACTAAGGCTCTGTGTATGTTGGAGGCCATGTTCCTTTCTGTTATCACACAAATTCTTGTTTTCTCAATGCGCTTCTGGACGTCAACTTCTTAGATGACGGTGGGGTGTCATTAAAGGACCCTTGAGGGCTGTTTTTAGGTCTTTGGCTGCGGCCAGAACTTAACCGCCTACTTGACAACTTTGCTGTGGGTCTTAGCCATTTCCCTCCCTCAGAACCCATCTTAAAAGTAGAAGTGTGGAGCCCTAAACTTTGCGGATTAACAGAGAAGTGGCTCCTGTTCTGTCCCTGTGGCTCCAGACTGCAGCTGTCGCTCTGAATTCCTATTTCCCCATCACCAAGCGCAGATGGTGGTGAGGCAAGAGTCTGACCCATCACCGCAGGGCCTTCCTCTGGCCAGACCCCACTCACACTAGCCCTTCGAGTGCTCTTCCTGATCTGAAGTTTTGCACAAGTAAGGCACCTAAGTCCGACTCCTCTAGTGAAAAAATACTGTGCGCCCAGTCTTCCCCAAGTACAAGAGAGGCCATGCGCTTCGCGGTGGCTCTGCCCCAGTTTGTCCGCGCAGACCGTGTGTTGGCGGCGCAGACCTCAGCTCCGCCCACGCGGAGGCCCAGCGTCAAGCCACCTCCCGCAGCAGAGTCCCGCCTCCACTGCTCACGGGCCACGCCCCTCACCGGCAGAAGTTGTGCGCGCCCAGCCCCCAGCGGCCCTGGGGGTCGCTGGAGCTACTGTAGCTGTGCTGCTGCGTCTGGTCCCAGAAAAGACACGGGCGTCCAGCTCCTCGAGGACCGGTGTGGTTCTGGTGACCGCGGTAGTCGGCGCCATTCACCTGGAAGCACTCGGACAAGCCTGCCCGGCAACCGCGGGACATGGGGAGGTCGGGACCTTCTCCGGACATCCTCATCATCCGACTCTAGCTCCCGCCTCGGTCCCCAGGCAGCACACCCAGCGCCCGCCCCCGCGGGGGCCCTCGGGCTGCTCAATTGCTCCAGCCACCTGCTCTGCCGCCTCCCCAGCTTCGGGGCCCCAGCCCTGGGCAAAGAGGCCGAGGAGGGAACGGTGACCATGTCTTGGCCGCCGTGCCTGACTCACCTGGACTGTACAGGCTTACTGCCGAGGCCCCGCGCAGCGGCAGAAGAGGGAGCAAAAGGAGGAAGAGACCCTGCAGGGCCTGTGTCCCCATGGCCCCCAACCGGATAGAGATCACCCTGGCCCACCCCCGGACGAACTCCGGGGTCTCCCGGCGACCTGGGGGACGCTGTCCTCCAACTGTCAGTCCTTGTCTCGCTCTGGACGGCGCACTCGGTCTCTGGCGGGGAAATGTCTCCCTGAGGTCCTCGTGTCTCAAGGTCTCTGCTCCTTGGAAGTGTCTCTGTCCCGTCCCTCCCTTGGGGTCTCTCCGTGGATATCTGGCCGCAGGCGTTCTCTGTCTCTGTTTCTTTTTGCTCTGGCTGGTGCCTCGGCCTCCACACCCACCTTCCTCGCTGTGCCTGGCTCTCCACTTCTCCTTCGCCCAGGTCTCTAACGCGCCGGCTCCTGCCCCTTTCGCGTCCCTCCTCGGGTTCCTCCCTACCCCCTGAGGGAGGACGGGAAGCCCCGCCCGGGACTGGAGCGCAGGCAGCAGGTCCAGACGCCTCCCACGCCCGCCCCCCGGGACCCCCAGCGTCCCAGAAGACGCCTCCCGGCCCCTCCCCTCTCCTTCCGAGGGTGGGTGCGGGTTCTAAAGGGAGGACGTGGAGGGGGACAGGCTGGGCTAGCAGAGGACACTAAAGGGGGAGATGCAAGACCCGCTCCCGCGGCCGCACGGAGTCCGTGGGTCCCAAGCACCCTTATTCAAATGTACACGCGTGCTCTCACTCAGTCACCCATTCATTGTCGCCCTCACTCGCACACCTTCTCCCTCCCCAGATCCCGACGCTACTGGCTCCAAGGAGGAAGTGCCACTCCCTGCCCCCCGCACCCGCGAGACAGACTGGAATCGTGGACGATCGGTCCCGGACAGGCAGGGGCAGCTGGTGTCTGGGGAGGAAGGCAGCTGCGCCCCTGGTCACAGCCCGCCCTCTCTCTTCCTCCTCTCCCCCCCCTCCCTAGGACCCCAGCCCAGGCTCTCCCGTGCTTTCACTGTGCGGTGGAATTCCCCCAGCGGTGCCTCCCACCTGGCGAGGGAGGGGGAGGGTAGCAGGCCCGGGCAAGCGTGGGGGGAAATTCCCCGCCCCCTCCCCCTAGGCCCGACTCCTCCGAGTCCTCTGATCTCCCAGAGCCGCCTGCCCGCTGCCCCCGGGGCTTGGGGGGAGGCCAGCGCAGGTGCGTGGGAGGGCGGAGGCGGGGTGGTGGTGGTGGAGGGTGGGGGGGCGGGGGACCCAGAGCGGCCACGCCTAACCCAGGCCCCTTGTCCATCAGTCCAGCTTGCTTACCCCTCGTCAGGCCCTCAAAGGCAGACGGGCCCAGATGGACACATCAGGTCCTGGCTAGCCCTTGCCTCCCGTGCAGTCCTCAGTCCCGCAGCTGGACAAGCAAGTGGACGCGGGGGTGGAGGGCGCTGGGAAGATTCTGCGAGGCCGAGGTGCCCATGGCAGTGGTCCAACACGCGGAGATCTTACAGTTAGCGCCTCACTTGAAGGCTCTTCGGATGGGGGCACATCAAGACGGGGGCTGTTTCAAGAAGGAAATGGCTTTGCTGAGACTGTAGGCCAGGGCCGGGTGTGCCTCCTCAGGGAGCTCTCTAAGTGGTCAGGTTGGCTGGGGCTGAGAGTCGCCCTCAGGTGCTGGCTGGGTGCTGGAAACCCCTTGACCCCACTAAGTAGGGAGCAACCAGGGGCTACCAGTAGAACCGGGTTTCCCTTTTCCCTCCTGCCTGAGAGCCGGGGACATAGCTCCGCTGCAAAGAAGGTTGGGCGAGTGGCCAGGCGGAGGAAGAGGTGATGTGGGGGGCCGGGACAATGGGACCCCACGTGTGGAACAAGGAATATGGAAAGGTTGGGGGCAGGGAACAGACCCCTCTAGTCAGGACCCTAAGCCTAAAAGAAGGGTCCCCGGTGCCTGTCTCCTGCAAAGAGGACAGGAAAGGAAAGTGGTGCTCAGTTCAGAGGTGCAGGGCACTGAAATGGGGTGTACCCTCACCACAAGTTCCAGTTCCAGGTCACAGTGGTGGATTCTTCAAGAACTAAGAGAAGCCTCCTCCCGGCATACCATCCCTTTCCAAGCCTTGGGCACTCAGCACTCTGCAAGCAGTGGCCTGTCTGTGCTCCCAAGGCCCTGGGGAGGGGGTGTTGGATGTTTGCATGTCCCCACTCTGCGGGCCCACAGCTGGGGCACAGAGGTCCTTGAGAACTTGGCTGTTTCCGACTATAAAGTGTTGAAGCTAGGAATCAAACACTCTTTTCAATGTGATCCAATCCCGGGGAGCTGGTGCTGACCCCATCCCACACTGCTTTGGGGGTTCCTGACTCTGCAGGGAAGTCTGGGTACAGAGAGACATCAGCTCCTTCTTGTCTTTGCTTGGGAGTTCCACTGCCATTACAGCAGCCCTGTTTTAAGCTGAGGTCCTGAAGCAGGATCTCCAGCAGCCCATTTCACAGAAGGGGAGACTGAGACCAGGGAGGGGCAGGGGTCAGCCTAAAGTCACCAAGGCATGACATCCTAATTCTTGGTATAAAGCGGGTGCAGCCTTGGCTTGTCAGTTCTCTGAGGAGTGGATTCCCAGGCACAGATCTGCCATGTGAGGGCAGTAGAGAGAAAGGAGCCTAGTACTTGAGTGTGGGTGGGTGGAGAGAGTCCCAGATGCAGGTGGGCTTTGCCCTCCCTTCCCCTGGGGCATGTGATGCCAAGTTCACCAGGTCCAGTGGGGAAGATGGTGTAAAGGTAGGGGACATTGTGTAAGAGGAGGAATTAGGTGCCCCCAGGAAGGAGAGGGGCAGGCTCAGCTTTGACCCTCTTAAGGGACAACTCCCCCACTATTGGAGCTTAGCCCTTTTCCTCCTGGAGGGCCAGTCAGCAAAAGAGTAGACTCCAGTGTGGAGTCAGAGTGCCTGGGTTCTACCCAGGGGCTACTCAGTGGTCCTTTTTATCTTTGCAGTGGGGACAGTGTTCCCTTTCAGGCCAGCCCTCATGGCAGGGCACATCACAGCTACCAGGAAGAAAGAGGCACTGAAGCTGGGCACAGTGGCACATGCCTATAATCCCAGTGGCTCAGGAGGCTGAGGAAGAAGGATCACAAGTTCAAAGCCAGCATCAGCAATTTATGAGACCCTAAGCAACTTAGGGAATCCCTGTCTTGAAATAAAATTTAAAAAAAAAAGAGCTGGGGATGTGGCTAAGTGGTTAAGCATCTCTGGGTTCAATCCCTGGTACAGAGGGTGGGGTAGAGGAAGAGAGGGTAAATTAGTAAGGGAAGGAGATTAGGGGTCTTGACAGGCAGAAAGTTCTAAGTTGACCTCTGGAGACTCCTGCTTCTAGGTATCCACATTGTTCCATGAGCCCCCAACCAGGAATGTGCATGGACCTGTGAAAACATGGGATGTCTCTCCTGTGATTGGGTCATGTTATATGGCAATGGTGAAGGGACTTTTGCAGATGTAATTAAGGTCTCTAATCAGTTGTCATTGAGTTTATCAAAAGGGAGATGGGGGTGGCTGCTGTGGTTACACCAATAGTCCCAGTCACTTCAGAGGCTGAGATAGGCGTATCATTTGAGATTAGGAGTTTGAGGCCGGCCTGGGCAGCATAGTGAGACCTCATTTCAAAAATAAAAAAAATAGGCCAAGGTGGGCTTGACTTGATCAGTGGGCCTTCGAGAGTCTGGAGCAACAGAGATGTTCCTCTGGCGGCTAGAGGAGCTGCTAGGCTTGAGGTCCTGGCTGCATACAGTCACAAGAGCTTGGGAGGGGACTCTGGGCCTCAAATGAGCCCCCAGCCCTACTGCCTCCTTGTAAGTCTCTGAGCAAGGACTCTGCTCAGCCCTCCCAGTCTACCAAAACTGTGAAATAATCATGAAGGATTTTTTTTTTTTTTTGGCTCTGGGGATTTAACCAAGGGGCACTTACCCACTAAGCCCCATCCCCAGCCCTTTTTATTTTTTATTCTGAGACAGTCTCATTTAGTTGCTTAGGGCCTTACTAAGTTGCTGAGGCTGTTCTCAAATTTACGATCCTCCTGCCTCAGCCTCCCAAGCTGCTGGGATTATAGGCATGTACCACCAAACCTGGCTAAAAGGGCATTTCAAGCGGCTAAATTTGTGGTAATTTGTTCTGCAGCAGCAGAGTGTGCTGAGTAGGACAGAGGTGGCAGGGGCAGTGCCTCAAGAAGAGCCTGCTCAGCCCAAGGGGCCCAAAGGTCCTGCTCATCAGCAGCCAGCTAGGTGCACTGTCCCTCAAGACTGCACCCTGCTGGTAGGTGGTGGAGCTGGGCCTATTGGAGCCCTTAACATGGGACTTCAGAATGCGGATAGGAGTCTGTCTCCTCCTTGGGGAGCTGGATGTCTTCCATTGGCTGGGACTGAAGGAAGGGTTAGGCCCAGCAGGGGGAGAGGAAGGCAGTCTGATTGGACCTCAGTGGCTTCAGGTCCATGGCAGCATCTGTGGCACTGGGGCCTTGGCAGTCTCTAGATATCCCCTTGGGTAAATCTGGCTTTGGGTCCAGGTAGTCACATCTGATTGGGAACCAGGGAGGAGCCCTGGGGCAGATGTAGTGTGATGGGATTTGCATTTAGAAAGCCCCTATCCCTGCTGTGAGGATAGTTTATTGAGAGGGATGCTGGAGGCAAGGGTGTGTGTAGCAGGGCTGGGGCCCCCGGGGAGAGTTGGAGGCTGAGAGATGGACATGATTAATACAGGGGCCTGCTGGGTTCTTCAATCCTTGTAGCCCTGCACAGGACAGAGGAGCCTTCTTCAGCCAAAGAACACACCAAGGAGAAAGAGGAGGACTAATGGGTGGGCTGCTGCTTCTCTCTCTTTTTTTTGGGGGGGGGTACTGAGGATTGAACTCAGGGGCATTGGACCACTGAGCCACATCCCCAGCCCTATTTTGTATTTTATTTGGAGACAGGGTCTCACTGAGTTGCTTAGTACCTTGCTGTTACTGAGGCTGGCTCTGAACTCGCAGTCCTACTACCTCAGCCTCCCGAGCTGCTGGGGTGACAGGCGTGTGCCACCACGCCCTGCTTTTCCTCTTTTCTTTTTTCCAGCACTGAGGATGGAAACCCAGGCCTTACACTATGTGAGATGATTGCTTTGCCACTGAGCTATACCCCCAGCCCATGGAGCTGCTTCCCAGAGTGATGACAACGTTCTGGAAGTAGGTAGAGGTGATAGGTGCCATGAAATTGCACACTTTGGGTGAATAGCATGATATGTGAATTATATCTCAATAAAGTTATTGAAAAAGAGCAAGGAAGGTGGCAGGCACTGACAATGGATGGGATGTAGACACAGGCAGGGCAGTGTTGAGGACCGCTCCAGGTTCCCACTGATGTATTTATGCCATCAAGAGACCAGAAACACAGTCCTCTTGCTTCCCATGCTGCTGCTGCCCCCAGGAGATCCTGGGGCAAGGCCCAGAGGCAGTTTGCAAAAGACAGCCAGACTGGGACTGCAGATTGACAGTGACCTCGGGGAGTGGACGTGCTGACAACAGCTGAGTTCCACCTCACTATGTTGCCCACACTGGCCTCCAGCTCCTGGTTTCAAATGACCCTCCCGCCTCAGCCTCCTGAGTAGCTGAGATTAGAGGCATGTGTCATTGAACCCAGCTTTTTACTTTTATTTTTTAAATTTTTAAAAATTTATTAGATGTAGATGGACATAATAACTTTATTTTTAATTTTTACGTGGTTCCAGGGATCAAACCCAGTGCCTCACGTATGCTAGGTAAGCGCCATACCACTGAGCCACAACCCCGGCCCACTTTTTATTTTTGATCCATGAGGCATATCATGCCATGGGGCACAGAGACACTGGTGCCCCATGGTGCTGAGGAAGCCCTCAACAGAGCTAGGGCAGGGTATGGAGGTGGCCAGATAACTGCTGCTGTCTGTTAAGGCCTGGCTAGGCTGCATGATCCACAACCAGGAGAAGTATTTGCGGTGTTCTTTGCTCTGTAGCAAGGGACATCTCTGTGGCTCTGGAACCATGGAGGAAGTGAACTTAAGAGAGGGAAGGTTCTGGGCTGGGGTCGTAGCTCCAGGGTAGAGCTCTAGCCTAGCATGTGCGAGGCACTGGGTTTGATCCTCAGCACCACATAAAAAATTGAATAAAGGTATTTTAAAAGGGGGGTGGTTCTGGAGATCAGGGGTGACAGCCCTTGTAGATGAGTGACCTCTGGGCAGAGGTGGGTGGCCCATGAAGCTGCCCTGGGCCACAGCCACATGCAAGTCCATGTCCTTCTGGGAGTACTCAATCTGTGCCACCTGGGCTGTCTACCTGGCCTTTAAGGTCAAACCAGCCCTCGCCAGCAAAGTGGATGTTTAGAAATGGGGAGAAGCCGGTGTTCCTTCTCTAACTTTGCTCAAGCCTCATGCTGACTTATGGGTGTCCAAAGCCCAGCCAAGATGACAGGGCTGCATGTGACATGCAACTAGACTCCACTGTGGAGGCTGCAGAGCTGACAGATGGCAAGGCTCTACAGGAAGCCATAGCTGCTGTGACCCTTGGTGCTTCTCGCGGGGCACTGCAGGCCTATGTGGCGCTAACCTTCTTTGGTGGAACTGACTGGAGATGCAGCTGGCGCAGCAGCAATAGAGCTGTCCGTGCCTTCCTGTAGTGGTGGCGCCTCCCGCAGGGTGCACAGAGTACAGGATGCAGAGGAGCCGGCTCCAGCTGCTCTGTCCATTTCCTCAGAGCCCAACTCCAGCTGCTAGCAATTCACTTAGCCTTGAGTGCCGGAGATGTAGTCACTGGGCTGGGTGTTCACGGCTGACTGGCAGACAATGGTGACATTCTGGGAGGTGGCTGCAGTGTCACTGGACAGCCTTCTTGACTGGTAGCAGACCTGGAAAGTGGTGACCCAGAGGCGCTGGCAGTTGAGGTTAGGTAATGGGCTGGAGTGACAAAGGGGTAGCCACCTGACCAGAAGGGAGTCAGGGTGGGGTGCCACTCCCACTCCAATCTTGCCCTTGTTTATGCAGAGGAGTGGGGGGGCACTCAGGCTGAGGGGCCGGGGCAGAGAATCAAGCCTCTTTCAGTAGCTTACTCTATCAGGGCCTGGAAGGCCATAAGTGCTGCTCTGTCCCCTGCGGGCTGGAAAGAGACTCCTCAGCAGCCCCCTCCTGAGATTCCCACTCCAGGCCCCCCATCTGCTCTTGGTCCAGGACACATCCAGGCCAGTTAGCCACCACGGCACAGGCAGGGAGTCTTCCCATGGGGAACTTCCCTACCAAACCCATCACTTCCCAAGCATGCAGTCCTAGACTCTCAGAGTGTGTGGCTTTGTGGTGGCCAGCTGTTGTCACAAGAGGACAGTGAAGCATAAAATAGGGTTTATTGAGGGAAGCAGATGGGCAGAAGGCCAGTGGGGGCACCAAGCTGTCACTGTCTAACAGTGGGTAGCACCTCTCTGGCCAGCTTGCCAGCTAGGGGAGCCTATTATGGGGTGGGGGCAGGGACCTGCTGTGCAGGGTCTCTAGCAGGCAGGGGGCTCTCACTCCCCTGTGGGTGTCAGTGTGCCCTCCTAGGACACTCAGTCCTGCAAGGCTGGCAGCTATTCAGCTCCCCAACAGGAAGAGGGGACACACCTTGCCACCACCTAACTCTCATCACCTAACTTCAGGTGAACGTGGGCAATCCAGGGCAGCACTGCTGTGGCCCGGACACATTGGCCTGCTCCAGCTTCCTGCCACATCTGGGCTGGCCCCCACTGCCAGGAACGACACCTGCCACGGGAGTCATGAGCATGGGTTTAATTCAAGCTGGAAAAGAGCACAGGAAGGAAGGTCAACGAGCCCTGGCGGGGCCTGCTCTGCAGTGGTTATAGAGGGCCACGACCCAGTGGGAAGCGGATGGCCAAAGACCAGGAAGGCCTTCCAGAAAGACCTGGTGTGGCTTGCATGGGTCTTTGGAGGGTGGGTGGCTCAGCTGGAGGGAATGGGACTTCCTGCACTGCTCTGGCTCAAGGCCACTTCACCTTTCTCTTGAACTCAAATGGGGGCCACACCCTGCTGGAAAGTCCTTGGCACAGTCACAGGCTCTGAAGATGAGCAGCAGCAGGGCAGGCGTGGCCTCTGG